CTTCTGTTAGTTTCTGTTAGCTTCTGTTAGCTCTGTTAGCTTCTGTTAGCTCTGTTAGCTTCTGTTAGCTCTGTTAGTTTCTGTTAGTTCTGTTAGTTTCTGTTAGTTCTGTTAGTGTCTGTTTGTCCTTGTATATATTTCTGTTAGCTCTGTTAGCTTCTGTTAGTGTCTGTTTACCTTTGTATATATTTCTGTTAACATGTTAGCTCAGTTATTTAGCCTGTTGGCTCTGTCAGTTTCTGTTAGCCTCTTAGCTCTGTTACCTCAGTTATGTTCTGTTAGCTCAGTTAGTTACAATTAGCCTGTTTGTTCTCAACTTGTTAGGTCAGTGAGCTTCTTTTAGCTCATTTAGGCTCAGTTATCCTGTTTATTCTCAGTTAGCCTGTTAGCTCAGTTAGGCTCAGTTAGCTCATTAGCTTCTTTTAGCTTGGTTAGTTTCAGTTAGCCTGTTTATTCTTAGTTCACCGTTCGCTCTGTTCGCCTGTTAGCTCAGTTAGGCTCAGTTAGCTCATTAGCTTCTTTTAGCTCATTTAGGATCAGTTATCCTGTTTATTCTCAGTTAGCCTGTTAGCTCAGTTAGCTCATTAGCTTCTTTTAGCTTGGTTAGTTTCAGTTAGCCTGTTTATTCTTAGTTATTTTTCGCTCAGTTAGCCTGTTAGCTCATTTAAGCAAAGTTAGCCTGTGTATCATCAGTTAGCCTGTTAGCTCAGCTAGCATCTCTTAGGATCAGTTGGTTAATCAGGAATCAGATTTTTTTTCTGGGTTGTAAAATGATATATTATCCATCATAACCTCTAAGACAAAGATTAAAACTGTACAAAATGTTCTTAATTTTTAATTATAAAGAAACAAATTTCTGTAATTTGAATACATTTTCTGTCTGATTTCTCACATTTTCTTAAAACAACAAATTAAATTCAGTTTATTTATAAAGCGTCAAATCACAACAAAGTTGTCTCAGGGCACTTTACAGGAACATTCACATAAAAGCCACTTAGTAAAGTTCTTTATCTAAGGAATCCAGCAGACAAGTTGAATCTTGGCTTCATTGCAGTCTCCCATCCTGAGCAAGCACAGTGGAGACAGTGGAAAGAAAAACTCCCTTTAACAGGAAGAAACCTCCAGCAGAACCAGACTCAGGACAAGAGACCATCTGCTTTGACAAACTGTTTTAGTTTATTGATGCTCTCTCATAGTTAGTTATTTTTTTACTACCTTTTTCATATATTGACTTTACTGTAAATATTTTTTTTTAGCTTATTAAAATATAAATGTGATCTTGACCTACCCACTGAGTTCCCATTTGCATCTAATACTGAAACTGATAACTGTAGTTTTTCTTTTATTGTTTTTATATATTTTTTATTGTCACAGTATTTACATGAGGGTTTTGTCTCTGTCTCTCAGGAGTACATCATTAAAGTCCAGAGGGGCGTGTCTTCAGACAACACCTGGCAGGTAAATTCACCAACAGCCTGAAGCTTCAAGTTGGGCAGAAATTATTCACCAGTTGTGTTTTACATAATAATAATTTACAAAATCAACTGAGATGGAGACATAAATATGGGACATATTTCATTATTAGGATTTTAGATAATTATTTACAGATAAAACCAGAGATTAAAGCTTTAATTCAGTCTTTGTTTCATACCCAACAAAGTTCAGTCAAGTCATCGGAATGGTTTCTTTTTTTGTTGTTGAGACGTTTCGTCCTTCATCCAAAGGACTTGATCAGTCCAAGGAGCCCCAACAAACTCAGTCCCACAAGCAGCACACCCACATAGTGGACCGACCAGTCCACAAAAAACCGTCCAGATGACCTGACTGAACTTTGTTGGATTTTCTACCTGGATTATTGAGCATGAACTTTGATGCGTTGTTTCATACGTTTTCATTCACGTTAAATTCAGTCCTTTGAAATGTTGGTCTCGCTTTCGTAAACCAGAAACTTTTCTGAGGTTTCAGTTTAGTATTTTTACTCTTTTCCAAACCACTTAAATACTTTAAAGGGACTTTCTGTAGTGAGGCGTTCTGTGACCGTTTTTACATCACAGATAACTTTCCCACGGATTTTAGGGGAAATGAAAGTTCTCTAGAGAAGTTTGTTTTTGTTTTTTACAAAACTGGTCTCTCAGAAAAAAGAAGGTTGTCTGAATGAGATTACCTGCATAAATAAAGGTTAAAGAAATAAAAATAAATACTTTTGTCTGGGTTTTGCAAATTTGTGTAAATTAACTGTGACTGAGTCAAGTGCAGGAAAACCAACAGGAGTTGTCGTTTTTCTAAATATTCCCTGCAATTAAAAAAAGATCATTTCCATTTAATCATTCCCAGTTCTCGTCCCAGTGGTCGGAGGTTCCTGCTGCAGTGTAGCTCAGGGCCTCTTCAACTGGCGGTTCACTTCCGGCCCAACTTCAGACCAGAGACGTTCAAACAATTTGAAATGACAAATATTTCAGTCAGAGGGACAATCGTGTTGTGTGTCCGTCTCAAATTTCAACATTTTCACAAACATGCAGAAGAACACTTTAAAGAACCCCCTCCTCACTGAACGCATCCACACGACGCTAGGCCACACCCAGAGACGCCATTCTTCATCGAGGATACTCGCCTGTAATCAGTTTTCCTGTTTATACGTACCAGGAACAACCCCCCCACAAGGCTACCCAGCATGCTTTGCAGCTCTCACTCTCTGGGGCAGAGAGAACTTTGAGAGTTTTGGGGAAAGTACAATAAAGTTAAACCGAGACACAAATCTTTGCTTTAATCTGGGGGTAACGAATATCTGTTTTGTGTTAATAATGTTGTAAAAATTAAATGAGCAGAAACATGAGTCAAACGGTGGCACGCTCTTCCTCTCTCGCTGAGCAGTGAGTTCTGATAAACCGATCATTGGGTTTGATCGCCTGCGAGCTGGATTAAACAACTACAGATTTATTATAGGGGGGATGTTGATGAGGAGGCACAGCAGCTTTGTAGTTGGTCCTCAGTAACGTGTGGCCCCTGAGCTGCTGGCCCTCAGTAACTGTGGCCCCTGAGCTGCTGGCTCTCAGTAACATGTGGCCCCTGAGCTGCTGGCCCTCAGTAACATGTGG